TTTTTTTTTTTTTTTAGGAAATGATCCTTTTTTTTTTTAAGGAGAAACCGCACGCTGAAGTAAATGGTTTTTCTATATGTTTAATGAGTGTCAAAATCAAAGGACCCACGTCTGATAATTGGAGGAAAGCTCCTGTTTCAAAAACTCCAAATAGACTTGCATTATTTAGCATATCTAGGGAAAGAAAGCGTTCTTATTTCTTTCTTCGGCCAAGTTTGTTGCCATTGGAGCAGATGCATAATTGTTAACTGATAAATATTTAGAGAAACCAGAGCAGGAGCCAGACCTGGACTTAAAAATCCACAGCTAGGAAGAACGAGAAAATGGATCCTGTTTGAGTTGTTCAAAAGTATCTCTGAACTTTGCCTGTTTCACCCTGTTATATGCCTGCTTTCCTGTGAGAGTCTAGAACTCCCAAGCGAACAGATAAAACGGGCAAACCAATCTGAACAAAATCACTTAAAATTGGCTTTATAGTACACTACGCACAGCAAGCGAAGAGAGGCACCGTTCCAACTTAGGGAGAGCCATTTTGCTTTCTGAATTAGCCAATGAAAAATCAAGAGCAATATAACTTAATGATAAAGCAAAAGCCCCACTATTATTTATTTCTTCCCTTACTTGTAACCAGGGATGGTTTTGAAATCCTAAGGTCGGTTACATTTTCATTTTCATAAGCACAACAGTCAGTTGCTCAGCTGACTGATTCTTTTCCTTAGGAAAGTATCTGCCGAGATCAGATTGTGCCTTTAACATGGTGATCGGCAGCTAGAAAATGTGTTGAGGTGTTATTTTTTATGATGTTTTATTCAAAAGGAAAACATGTTTTGAATTTAATTTTATTCCAAATGCGAACATGGAAAAAGGGGGTGAGTCCATACCCTCTAACAATTTGCACTTGGGAAAGGTGTGCCCAAACGATGACAAGACTTCAGTCTTCCGAGCTTCCTTACTCCAAATTGGTCATTCACAAAACATCCAATCTAAAGCAGGCACATTAAGAAATGCATTTCATAAATGTCAAAATCATTGGCAATGACTAAAAATTATCTTACTACTATTATTACAGGGTCTTTTTTCCCCCTATGATATACTTGGGAAGATATTTTCATAGTTCCAGAATGTCACATTTTAAAAAAATGGTGGAGCGCCTGGGTGGCTCAGTCGGTTGGGCATCCAACTTCAGCTCAGGTCATGATCTCACAGTCTGTGAGTTCGAGCCCCACATCAGGCTCTGTGCTGGCAGCTCGGAGCCTGGAGCCTGCTTCAGACTCTGTGTCTCCTCTCTCTGCCCCTCCCCCTGCTCGTGCTCTGTCTCTCTCTCTCTCAAAAATAAATAAACATTTAAAAAAAATTAAAAAACTGCTTTGCAGAAGTTTGCGATCTTCTTTGTTATGTGTATCTTGAGGAAGCTCTAAAGTGAAATATTCTTTCCACTGCATTAAGCTTCATTTAGTAGCTGTGAACTGAGCATGTAAAAAAACAGTAGTGGATAAATGAAATGGACCTTAAAAATCTAGCATGCAAACACAGATCTGGCGATCCTTTAACACAGAGAGATGTTTTTTAAGATTGGAATCTCCTGTTCACTTCAAAGCCAGTAGAGGAGAACACCCCTCCAAGGAAAATGAGAGCCCTGAGTGTTCAAAAGAAGGTACAATTCAAAGAGCAGCCATTTGTTCTTGTTTTTAAGAACTTTTCTGGGTAGAAATACCCAATGCAAGGGAGTGAATTTTGATTGCTCACACATCTTCTCTATAAATCTGTTCTGCTCAGATAGCATTTTATTGTCTGATTTATTAGTTACAGCGTTTTTACACTTGGGAGGACACCAGTTATGTATGTAATTAAATCTAAATGGGTGAGCTTTTCAAATGCCTATGCATTCGCTTTTTACTGTGCCCCACTGAAGAATCGTATTGAATTTGCACTTGCAGGAGGAGTTGGAAAAATGATGGTTATTCACTAAGTTGCCTGATTGCAAAGCATGGAAGGAGACATTTTATAGTGTGTGTGGAATTACCTTCAATGGGCAGCCCTTAAACTCTGTTATCTGTCTCTTACTATGTTAATGTCTTTCTCTATTGTCACCAGAAATATCTCAATCACTGGGGCAAGGTGGAGAGGAGGGACAGACAGCTGGGTTGAGTAACAAAAAAGTGATCGCAGCTCCCCATTCTCAAGTTTGAGACTGCTTTTCACCCAAACCAAAGAAGTCAGTGTTGCATATCTTTTATGACTTATTCTCTAGTACAGTCTGATTATGTTTTTATTGTTGTTGGGGTGGGTAAAACAGAGGTCAGCATTAAGAAGTTGTTTTAAAAAGATACAAACATTTTTAGAATTTAAACCCTTAATAACATCATTGTGAATCCACATAAACTCGGATTCCATTCTTAACCTGATTTTTCCCCTTTGCAATTGTAAATGAATCCCATATCTACCAGCTCATCCGTTTTACTGAGGCTTTATTTAAATGAAGATCTTCTTCGACACTTATGTGATTGTTGGGCAAACTACATTGCTTCCCTCTGCCTCGGTTTCCTTCTGTGTAAAATGGTAATAATAAAGGTCCCAATTTCCTAAGGGGGATAAAAGCATTAAATGAGTTGAAAGCATATAAAGCGTTTGAAATAGTGCCTGGCACATGGGAAGTGATTGATTAACATTGGCTATCCCAGTCCTATTTATTTTTCTGCATTCTTTCCAATTTTCCAGAATCTTCTTTTACTCAGCCTTTCCAAGACCTCAGCCTTTCCAAGCCTTTCCAAGACCTATCACATTGGTGCGAAGTTCCCAGGGTTTATCCACTATTTCAGGGATCAAAACTTTTCTCTTACAGGATTCAGTACCTTTGTTTTCCATTCTCACTTTGCAACATTGTTGTTTTACCTTAAAAAAAAGAGAGAGAGGGAGAGAGAGACAGAGAGACAGAGAGAAATAGAAAATTCAAGAAGATAAGCTTTCTCGGATGGGATTCAAACCCCAAAATGTTTACCTTAACTCACTGAACAATAAGATGTTCATACCAGAAAAGATGTTCATCTGCTAATGACATTTCATACACTTACAGACACAGGCACTTACACGCAGAAAATAGTTGTAGCTAAAATTAATTGTGTTTACTCTGTACTAATGACTGACTAAGTTATTTGCATTGATTCTATTTACTTCTTAGGATAACCCTAGGAGGAGGTTCTTTTTCTTGTTTTTTAGATGAGGAGACTGAGGACCAGAGTGGCCAAGAAACTTGCCTTAAATCATACAGCTAGAGGGGCGCCTGGGTGGGTCGGTCAGTTAAGCGTCCAACTCTTGATTTTCACTCAGGTCATGATTCACTCAGGTCCTGCGATGGAGCCTCATGTCGGGCTCTGCTGACAGAGAGGAGCCTGCTTGGGATTCTCTCTTTCTGTCTTTCTCTGCCCCTCCCCCGCTCATTCTCTCTCTCTCTCTCTCTCTCTCTCTCTCTCTTTCTTTCTTTCACAAAATAAATAAACATTAAAAAAAAAAAACATACAGCTGGAAAGTGACACAGCTAGACTTTGAATGGGACAAGCCCTCACACCAAGTGTCTTGTCTAAGATCCAGACCATTACTTGGGAACATGGAGTTGCTGGATTATTCTGCCCTTTATTCTGACTCTCATTTGTCCATTCCTGATTACTGGAGGGGACTTGACCATGAGCCTTTCCAGCTGCTGCTCAGCTGTTCCCAGGCCAACAGGAGGAAGTTGGCGGCCAACTGAGGAAAAAAAAAAAAGAAGGAGAACAATAGGGAAGCTTGGAAGCAAACAGACATTCTGCTTTGATTGAAAAGGTGGGGTTTGGGCTGGGAGAGGCTGTGATGCAGAGGATTTAGAAAGAGGTGTGCAATGTCCATGGGAACTATGTGTCTTCAACTCCTATGGAATCACTTTTGTTTGGAGTAAGAGATGACCTTCTTAGATTTCTGGTATCATCGCATAACACATCGGAGTTACAGATACTTTTTGGTAGAGAAGAGTTGTGAATCACTGCACACTAGGGGCCACGGGCCAGTATCTCCTCTTTAAATTCTTATGGCAAACAAATTCAGGCTGCGTGCATTTCCAGCTACCCCATTCTCTTCCCTCCTCCCATTTTCCCTTCCGTTTATTTAACAAGTCACTGAATTACCACTCTGTGCTTGGTCGGATGTATAAGGAGGCTAATAGGGTTCTTGCCTTAGGGAGCTTATGTTCTTGGAGGGTGTGGGGAAGAAAACAAGCCAGTCAGTGAATAGTTTCATCATAAATTTTGATAAATGCTAAAGAGGACAACTGACGGGAAGAGCTTGCTTTTGATGAGCTGTTCGGGAAGGTCTCTTTAAGAAAGGGACATTTAAGGTGAGCCTGATTGATGCAGAGCATAAAGTGTCCTTGGAGACCTGGGGGTGGGGGTGGGGGTAGGGGGTGGGGGGGAGAACAAGGAACCGGAGGTGAGGGCAGGTGCAAAGTCCTTTACAGGGAAGAGCCTGCTGTGTTCAAAGATCTATCAAAAAGCTAACAGGGCTATAGTAAAGGGAGGCAGAGAATAGAGCAGGTGAGGCTGGAGGAGGAGGCTGTGGCCAGACCTCCTGACGGATTTTGTAGGAGGGAGACCACGGAGGGCTGCTTCAAACAGAACGGGACTCAAGTT